ACAGACATATGCATTGCATTTTGCATTTATACATTTTATTTTTTGTTTGCTGAAATTTTAATGGAATCATTTATGATTATGAATCGTGCAATTCAAAGCCATGTATCAATTAAAAAAAAAATATTAAAAATATTAAATGATAATAAGCTTGTCTTATTTGTTACTAAACACTGTTGGTGTAAATAGGAAGTTGTCTACATTATCTGGTATATACAGAAAAAAACCTCTGGCTAATCTTGACTTCCCGATGTTAAACTTGAAAACACGCTAGATATATACATATTACTTTTATATTAATTTTCGGTCCGTTTTCAGTTTCATTGCTGAATTTGACTTTATTTACACATTGTTGCAGTGCGATTTATCAATGTAGTAACTGGTGTATATATGACAGTTAGCACCGGCCCGGCAGGTTGCTAACAGCTGCAGACAGCTCTGGCTGTTTGTTGGCCAGGTCCTACGACTGACGACTGCACGCATCTCATACCGTTGAACTTGAAACGGAAAGTGAATGTCCTGTCTGTTAGACACTCCAACTGTCTGACATTTTTTTGGTGAAATGCAGGCAAAGGAAATCGCGTAACGAAATATGCCAGCACGCAATGTCTGCCAAAAGCGCTGCAGTCGGTCCGACTAACTCACTCTCAGAGAAAAGAAATAATAAACAAAAAAAAAAAAAAAAACAAACTTTACCAAAGTGCCATAGGAAGTCGACAAAAAAAAAAGAGGAAGAAAAAAATATAATGTCGCCTTTCCGCTTTGTTTGTGCTGTCTTCCCACTCTTATCGTGCGTCGTCCCAGCTTGCCAATATTTTCTATATTTATTTGCATTTACCAGCTCTTGACACATTGATTTAAGCAACAATTTCTGATATATTTATCAATACTCGCTGCCAAGCTAAGTAAAATTGCATTGTTTTTGTTTTTCTTCTTCTTCTACTTTTTGGAGTACTGTTCCAACCATTTTCCCCCTGTTTCTCAGCACATTTTTGATTTGGTTTGCGGAAGTCGCTCGTCGTTGTTGCCGTCGCTCTGCCCCTTCGCGGCGATATATGTTGGCCACAGTTTATTCACTTAGTGATCCGTTGAGCTTCCGCCCGTTTGTACCGGCTGGCAGGCCTTTACCGTTAGCCATTTTGGCAGAGTTAAATGCGCTCAATTAGCTAAACACCTCAAAATGCTGTAGACAGACATACTTTTTTTGTTCCTAGCATATATTGCCTGCTTAGAGAATGAGATATTTACATATTGAGGCTCGAGGCGTTGCAGTAGAATTTGCATGATATTAAAGAGCTGCATTTTGAGAGCTTTAAATTATAGATTCTGAGGACTTGAATAAAAATAAGTGAGCCGTGAAAATAATGTGAATCATTAAGGAAATATTTGAGTATTTAATATCTATTTGGTACATTAGAGTAAAATATTTTCTCATAAGAGACAAAAGCAATGTGAGCTGGAGATTAAAAAGGAGAAATTGTGAAGCAGAATTAGTAATAAAAACTCTCCCACTCCCACTCTCTCCCTATCTCGAACTCTTCCACTATCTCTCGATTCCTCTCATTTCCCATTCTCATTGTCTATTTGTCTCACCATTTCGTTCCATTCTATTATCGCTTAACTTCATCTTTTCTCAGTTCATTACCTATTAAGGCTTAACTTAATATTTCTGAATTGTCCCGGGTATTTAATTTATTTTTAAACTATATTTCAGTTAGTTAAACTGTTTGTACATCGTTTTTAAATAAACAAGCTGGCATATCAACTATTTCTTCAAGCATGAACATGCTTAACTCTCTAGCAGCTTAAGTTGAAAGTGCAGTTTCAGGTCCAAAGCTTAAACTTCATCCGCGACTTACAATTGTTCAATTCCGAGAAAGTTGTGCTCCCTGGCCACACAGATTGTAGAATGAACAAGACATGAACAAAGACTTTTTTCATATTCCACGCTGCGGCTCACATCAACCGAAATGCAAACTTGAAGTGCAAACTCTAAAGTAAACTTTCTATTATTCTTGTTCTTTTTTGTAATATTTTTTGTGTATTTTATTTCTCTTTATCACTTTCACTGCCAAATGGCCAAAGAATTTCCGCACTGCACTAACGTAGATTTATTTGTTCCGCCTTTGGCTTCCGGACGCGTCTGCACACAGTTACAACTGGCCGCGAACTGCGCGAAATGCGAAATGCCGCTGATAATCAAGTGTCAAAATTCATATTCAAAAATTCAAATACTGCCAGGCGCTGACTCCCCGACTCTGGCTGCGAGACCCATAACGGGAACGAGCAGGACTCGTCAGTGGCCATGGCGCTGCGCATGTGTCCTGCAGCCTGCCGCAAATCGCGGCATTGCCCGAAGCCCGTAGTCCGTAGTCCGCAGTCCACAGTCGCCAAGGTGTTGACGCCGGCTGCGACTACTGCTGTCGCTGCTGCCTTGGGGGTGTCTGGCCAAAAGGTAGAAAATAGTAGTAAATATTTCATTCATAAAGGGCATAGCGTAACATTTTCATATGCACGTGTCGCTGTTGCTATATATATGTATGTATGTATGTGTGACACGTGTTCTTGCACTTGCCATTCAAATTGGGTATTTACTATTTTAAAAAATCTGATCAAAGAGCCGTCAATCAAGGCTAAACTATATTAAAGTTAGCCATCAATAGTGGACAAAAGAAAACTAATTAAATTTATTGAAAGTGCAGCTGCTATGCCTATTGTATTTATTATATTACATAGTTGGAAATTATTGTAAAACATAA